ATACGTACCATAGAGGTAACTCTAAGACCAGAAGGTCCCGAAGAAACGGGCTCAACTTTTTGGCTCAGCTCTGGTACTATCTTCGGTCCCAAGCTAATCGATGCACCCCTCGAAACATAGAAAAATCCACGAGCCCCTCATTTTATCTGTCAAACTTTCATAGCGAATCATAACAAACATAGAGTAGTACTAGAATTTTGACAAGAACGGGGTACGTTAATCGATTTGCTTGGGACCAATAGGCTAGTCAAGTAGTGAGCCAATTTAAAATCGTTAGTTTCGTATTGATTGTTGTACGTACCCTTAAACAATGATCCTACGATGCAACTTTCCAAAAATTATTGAGATATACGGTTGAAAACAAGCTCTTATTCCGTGTTTTTTTTTCGTAGTCGATTTACCCGAAAAACGATAAATTTTGACAGCGCACCTTCCCAATGGTCAGTTCACACTGCCAACCTCGAGCTAGATTATAAAAATAAACGAACAAATTAACGTTTGTTAGAAAACAAGGAGTTTTTTTTTGTCTTCTAAAAGCATCTCTCGGAACTGGTATGCTTCTTTATTGATTGTGATAGTGTAGTATGGAAGGGGGTCAAGGGCCAAGTCTCCGATACTTTTATGCACCGTACATGCTATACCAGTTGACAGGGGGTGGCATCATATGAGGTTAAATATGTTTTGTGTAATCTACGAATGTGAAATCATCACCGGTAGGGTAACGTATAGGTAAGACCCCATCTCAACAGAAGAGAAGAGACAAGGGAGGGGGGTTTGTGTCGATTCATAGATAACTGTAACTTAAGGTGGTTAATTCGAGTATAAGTAAAATATAGGTAAAATTAGTAAGAAAACATCTGATTGTTTATAATGCCTGACTTTACCGTGATGTTGTTGGCGCTCTTGATGACGCCACCCTCTATAGGTTTGACGATGAGTCCGATGAAAATCCCAGCATGGCGTTTATTTCCTCATCAGGGAATCCCTAGAATTTCGTTGGGTTAAGGTCATCGCTGCTGCTATCGTCTGATACTATTCCATCGCTCGCTTCGTACACAAATTCAACCGTTGTAGTTGTGTTGTAGGTTGTGTTTTGAAATTGTTTTCTGTTATTTGCCAGCTCTTTCTAGAAATTCAATGAATGGGCCGAGCTGTAATACGGCGACCAACTTTTTTATTCCCCGTGATTTATGATCGTTGTCTTCTTCAAAGCTTTGTTGCGGTTCCCCGGTAGCGGTAGATCCTTCTTCACTATGAAGCACTTATTTTCTTCCGGAATTCGTGGCTCCACAAACCGGAAAAGCGCTGAGATGTCCCGGTAATATTTTGCAAAAGACTCACTGGCTCCTTGGAAACGAAAACTGACTTCCAGGCGAAGAATCTGGGAGTATCCACTTGGCAAAAACTCTGCGGATCTCCCGCTTGAAAGCGTCCCATGATGGTAACAATTGTTGTGACGTTGCACGGGCATACCAGTCGAGTGCGTCTTCCTGCAACAAATGCTTGATAGAAGTCAGCAGTGTCTCGTCGCTCATTCCTTCCGTTCTGGCAAATGTCTCGACGCGATCCAAAAACACGTTGAGGGAGGTGGTGTCCTTCTCTCCTCGAAACTTGAATGGCCAATTATGCACTGCTTTCAGCATTCTTCTTTCATCATCCCGCCTTACTGGAGGCCTTTCTTGGCAAAGCAAGCGATGCAGTAGATCATCCCGAATCCTGTGATACTCTTCTGTGGCTTGCACTTCTCGGGCTCGAGCATCCCTTGCTTGTGCGTTCCTTTCTCCCTCTTCTCTGGCCCGCGCGTCTCTGGTCTGTGCGTCCCAGGCTCGTGCTTCTGCTTCTCTGGCTCGCGCCTCCCTCGTTTGTGCTTCCCTTTCCTCGGCTTCTCTGGCTCGTGCTTCCCTGGACTCGTACTCGTGGACGTCGTACGGTGGAGGTGGAATATCGTTACATTTTTTTACGTTGAGTTGGAGGAGACTTTTGCTACACCAGGTGTAGAATAGATTTATTTCATTCTGGAATATTCCTGCGTCGGATTCATTTCTTATTTCTATGAAGAGCTTCATGTCGTCTGCATACACAAGTAATTCAGTAATCTTAAGTATGAAGGAAATGTCGTTTACGTACAAAATAAAAAGAAGTGGGCTCAAATGAGATCCCTGGCGGATAGAATTTCGATCTATCAATAAGCGGAACCAATTCAATATATTGTAGACCAACAATTGAAAAGATACTATCAATTTTATGAACAAAAACACAAAAAACGTTGATTATTCTTTCCTCGCCAATCTACCGCAAATTACCAGCATCATCGGATAGGGGAAACTTTCCCCAAGAACCAGCCTGCGGCTGAAAATCTCCTAAATAAAGAGCCTTGAGTCACGAGAAAATGGTTTCCGAAGTTTTGATCGCAATAGCTGATGTGCTCTTTTCTGTTGTTGGTCGTGATTTCCTCGATTGGATCCGCTATTTGACAGCTCAATTGGTTCCCGATATTCTATCCGCCAGACTATGAATATAGCGACTATAACTAGAATGGGTTCTAAAAATTTATTTTGAAGGCGTACAATTTGCTTACGGTTTGTTAAGTAGGACTGGATCCAGTTCAAAAGTCCAGCTTCCATTCCTACTTTCTGTACCTTAAAGACTATGAATATAGTGATTACAGCATAGACAAACACTTAGCCTTGGTCACTCCCGAAGAAACTTGCTCAATCTTGGTTCAGTAAGTACCAGACCTTCGGTCCCAAGCTAATTAGAGCACCCCTCGAAACGTAGAACGATCCCCTCATTAAACTCTGTCAAATTTACAAGGCGAATCAAAACAAATACAAATTCTAGTACTAGAATGAGATACGCTTATAAATGTACTAGAACCAATGGGGGCTAGTCACGTAATGAGCCAGTTTAAGCCCATTAGTTTCGTACTGATTATTGACTATAGTGTCACATCTATCATAATTGAACCCGGGCGAAGCACCCCACCAGACCACGCCACTGGGCCATTGAACAGTTATAAAGTACCTGGTCGTGTTGGTGCTGTTTATGGTGTTTATAGTTGGAAATGCGTTTTTAAGTACATTAGGCATTTTTAGATTGTTGTGGCTTTTTAAGGCCATGTCATTATTTTCAGGGTGATTTTGGCATTTTTAATACTACTTACTAGTAGCCTACTGTAGGATTTGTGAGACATTCGTGGACTTTTTAAAGTATATTTTTTTTACGATTTTCATGTTTTTAAATAATTTTATAAGTTGTTGTAAACCATCATCTCCGGACATTAGAGTTAGATCTTGTCTTAGTGCTATGTAGGACGAACATTGATGATGACAAATCGAAGAATCAAAAGCGTTTTAGCAGATGTGTGTTGTGATTCGTTGAGCTTAATATGTGTGATACAGAAATCCCTTTTCCTAACGAGAAAGAGTTAACAAAGAAAGCATAAGTTGTGACAATTTTCAATCTTATCAAGTCTCGACCAGCAATTGAAAAGGGCCTGTCAGCTTTTGTAAAAAGAAATGTAATGGCCTTTTCCAGCGAACCGTAGCTCGCCTATGCAAAGCAACAACACCATCGGTACGGGAAATTCTCCCTTTCCGGATAGTGTTGTTGGTTTGTGTAGGCGAGGTTCGGTTTGCGCGAAAAGGGCATTATAAGCTATGTTTTCAATAACTGATAGGCCCTTTTCAATTGTTGGTCGAGATAGTATTTACCATATTTTCCAAATTTTATTCTACCCTACGTACATTTATAATGTTCGCACTGAGCACTTTGTTGTCATTATTAGTTGAATAGTTATCTAAATAATTCCGCTATTGCTCAACTCAAATCAGTCAAACCAACTTCCAATGTCTTTCTCTGTTCTCTTTCTCTCTTCTTTTAGATATTGTAAGTACGAACAAATGGTCGCAATGTCAGATCTGTAAATTGGTCATAACGTCTGTAAATCTTTGGCGACACATGCGAACGCAACACACGAACCAAGAACCACAAAAGTGTAACCGTTGTAACAAACAGTTCAAGAACAAATACAGCCTTCGTGAGCATGTGCGCATGGCTCATGAAAACAAACAGCAGCACCAGTCGGAACATCATCAACAACAACAACATTCACTCGACGCTGGTGGCAGTGGAGGTTTATCACCACGATCGACCTCAATTCCAATGGGTTCGGTCCTGGAAGGAAACAGTCCCACGGAATCGGTTGATGCTTCCACGGCTGTTGGACTGAGCGTGCTGTCCGAAGCGCACCTGACTGCAGCATCGACAATGAAACTGTTCTGATTTTAGGCTTTGATTCCTTCCTTATAATAGATCATTGAAAGTACAAACAGCGGGTCATCGGAATAGGTGTTATTGGTAGTAGATCTACATTAAGTGGTGACCCTAGACCTGAAGTATTTGTTATTTTTGTTTATGTGCTTAAACTAGTCAAGATTAATGTATATATGTATATACGAAGGACTCTCTAATTTGTAATTTTAAGCATGTACAAATTAAATGTCAGTGATATAATGTATTTAACTTATTGATATGTAAACTAACTTAAGTAATAAAATGCGAAATGATTCGGAAACACGTTTGTGCATTTGTCGTTCGTTCAAAGTTTAGATACTGCTCATTGTGAGAATGTTCTTTTCCTTAAACGGTTTAATTGTATGCATATAGACTACCCATAATCGCGTACCAGTCCCATTTCTTCTTCTTCTTCTCTTGGCTTTATTACATTATGCCGGTTCTCAACTTAGTGCTCTTTGAGTACTCCCACCGTTGTTAATTGAAAGCTTCCTAAGCGAAAAATTCCTAGGCTGGACCAGAAATTGAACCCAGCCACCTCCAGCAGGGTCTTGCTTTACCTATAGCTACGCCTTTACCGACTGAGCTAATGGAGGCCCATATGGATAGAAAGTCAAGCAAAGATGGGACTGACATGCGATTATGTGCAGTATAGATATCAGGCGAATAACTTCTAACAGTTGATTTAATTTGTATCGTTTTAGTTTCCCACTCATCCGAGAATAAGCAACTGCACACCTGTTCCGAGTGTCACCGGCAGTTCTGCTCGATGAATGCAATGAAACGACACAAGCTAGCCAAGCACGGCGATAACAAGGTCTCATACAGCTGCGTGATGTGCAATGCGACGTTCAAAACGAAATGGTCCCTATCGACACACAAGAGCAAGTATCATCGTGATAAGGTAATGGTTCTCCCGGTAAAGACGGAAGTATCCGATAGTACACCTTCTACACCTACCGCAGCCATAATCAGCACAACAAACAGTACAACGCCAGGAACCCCGACAGCAACTCCGGTACCGGTTGCGGTGCGTAAACTCGGGCAGACTACGGTTACACCGGCGAGTATCAGCAGGAAGACTTTTCAAATATCCACCAGCGGGAGGATCACTCCATGAGGGACGATAAATCCGGTAAATTGTGCTGCAACTTCCAACAAATCATCAGAACCGAAGAAGCAATCACCGGAAGCGAGAAAATCAATTAAGACAACTAAGTTATAAAGTTCATGAAATTCGAATCGTATGTTACGATGGCTAGTAGCGCTTTGTACAAATGCAAAACTGTTTCTTTTTAGTTTTTTTTTTCGTTTGAACAATGCGAGAATAGTTAACAGTTTTTTCGCAATATCTCAATTGAATTTTGTTCAATTTAAGTTAAAATCAACTCTTTTACTTTGAAAATTTAATTAGGGACGGTAAGTAAAAAAACAGTGTAAGGAAATGTTCACTGTTGGCTATTGCATATTGCATTACTAATTGTGAGAAGAAGCAGAACATACTTTCAAATTGTGAAAAAATCTTAACCGCCAGTAGAACTCATTGGATGGAAAAATCAAATACTTTTAAGCTGATGACTGTAGTGAAATGTTTGTGAATAAGAAGCCTTTTCATATGTGTAAGCAAGTTTAGTTTCATTTTGAAAGATATTCCCCTGCTTATATTCCTAGACGATAAATCAAAGCAAATAACACACAATTTGTGAAACTCTTAGCTTAAATTTATTATTGTTTGCAAACGATGTTTAGCTCGATTCTTCTTTAGGTTTCGCATCTTCCAACGTAGTCGAGGGCTCAAATCCAGGTGGATAGGTACCATTCTTCATGTGAAGCCTGTAGTGGGCCGTAAGATTGTGTTTAACGGTGAAAAATTTGAGACATATTTCACATGGATACTCGGCAATACCGGAGTGCACCGTGGAGTGGACTTTTAGTTTGCATCTAAAAAGAAATTCGATACATTAACACATCTTCTTCAACATCCAACGAAGCTGATCCTACTTTCGTCTGAACTTCTTCCCGCAAATGTCGCAGGAAAACCGTGGCTCTTCAGTGTGTATCTTCCGATGTATTAGCCAGTAGGCAGTCCCTTTGATGCGTTTACCGCATACTTCGCAGTCGTAAAATCGGCTTGTAGATTTGTGACGGCTGCGATGCTGTTGTAGGGCAAACTTCGAATGCAACTTAGCTTCGCAACCTTCAACATCACATGCAAAAGGTTGCACACCCAAATGGCGATTCAGGTGTCCCTCTAACCCTTGCTGGGATACTAACTCACCGCAGGTCACGCAAACCACTTTCTCTCGATTATCTCTCTCGCTATCGGATTTTGCTCTTCCTCTTCGTCTTCTAGGTGCCAGGATCTTGCTACCGGTGTCATCGTTAGTCGTAATGCAATCAAAGCTCTCGCTTTCCATTTCTATTTCATCCTTTACTTGGTTATCAAACGTCATGGAGTCTGAATTACGATATTGTACGACATCCAGACAAGGCTCGCCATTACTATCTGTATATTGAATTTCAATAACCTGATCTTCGGCCACAAACTCTTCTTTAATAAATTCTTCGACATGGTCATCAATTAAGGCTACGTTTTCCGGCAACAGTTGGGAAGGGCTTGTTTCTGGATCATATACGACATCTTCGTCAAAATCATACTTCCTGGAAACTGCGTCTATATCCTGCTGATGTCGTTCAACCAATTCGGCTGCCTTTTGAAAAATGTCAACTTCATTCAAAATTGACCATGCGTCTGATTCGAGTTCGTACGAACTATTTTTCAGAAGAACTTCACTCTGCAAACAAGCTATTTTGAAGGTGTTGATCAGCGAAACAATATGCCGGCAATGCACGCAAATACGTGTGGTTGGGTCTTCTCGAAGGGGCTGGAATTAAAAGAATGTCTATTATTTGAAGACCGTTCAGTTTGGAAGTACCGAATAGTGACAGAAGCTAGCGGGTTAGATGCAATTACACATGGAACGTAATAACGTTCCATGTGTAAAATGCATCTACACTTAACGACTCAAAGGGATCAAGCAAATCTCGATAATGAATTGAAAAGGGCCCATAAGCCTTTGTAAACAAAACTTTCCCCTATATGATGATGCTGTAGGTTTGCGTCTGACTTTAAAAACTGTCGCATTAATGGGCCTTCGCTCATTTTCAACTTCTATTCAATTTTCATACTGCCGTACTCTAACGGAAATATCCACCTACCCTCTTCTAAAGATCTTTCTCTAGCTAATAATTTATCACACTAAAGCTTCACGTTAGCATTTCCAACCAACTCTACTAAACTTGTTTTAAAACATTATCCCATCCGGATAATGTTTTAAAACAACAAACAAACAAACTTTTCGTGAAAAAAATGTCTGCCCCCCCTAACATAGCCATGTATCTATGGACCATGCACTTACTACGTAAGATTTTAAAGGAATAGTTTTCCTACAAGGGAGGGAAGAAATCTCAGTAAAATTTTACATAGGGGCAAATTTATGTAATGTCGGCCTAAGTGTCCCTAATTTGGGCCCATACATTCAGCAAGTGACTAAATTTTCAATAGCAACCAAAAATATCCATTAGTACCGTCCCAATGACGCGGTCATCTAGATACAATTGATAAATAACAGATTTTTAGCGATGGGCCCAATCTTAGATCCATAGGCCAACACTAGAGCCATTTCCCCTAACCATGAAGAATACAGAACATGTTAATGTTCGATGTAAGATCTTACGAAGACGGAGCTGGGATAGAAAAACTTTAAGGAATAAGTGCACAGTTCCCTACACAGGATTATTTTATGCGATTGATACGTCCTCGTAAAACTAAAATCGCGTTAAAGGCATGTAATTTCGAACAATATGCTCAACAAGTCTACTGGACTTGATCTAAAAGAGCTCTGTTACGTCTCTTGAAGACCCACACAATCTGCACCGTAGATCCATGACAGTTTTTAATATAATCCATAAAACCTCTACTTAGCCCAACTTACGATATCTACCTGAATAGAAACGGCTGCGAATATTGTTTGCTCATCCGCAGATCCATTGCTGAATATTTCCACCAGCTGCTCATTGCTGTAAACTCGAAGGCATAGGCGGCACATGGGTGACTGGAGATCAGATTCGTTCTCCATTATGTTATTTGAATTTTATTGGTACATTTATTTTCGGAAACTTAGGCACTCCACCAAACAAAGCTGACGAAATATTAAATTTTAATAACAATAATCAGTGTTTACTTCTAGCCAGTCGGATGTTTATAAGCAAAGCTGAGAGACAGTTATTGGCTTGACGGCGACTCTGTAGCTCTTTACTCCTACGGTGAAATCCATAAGCAAACGTCAGACTGTGCGTGAAACATGGCGGACTTTATACTATCCTTTCACTCCATCGAAAAATCCCATGAAAAACTGTCAATCTTTTCTAGAAGAGACAATTTTTCGACGGTGCCGTTAACGCCAATATGTCAAACAGCTAGCAGCCCTGCGGGAAAGTGCAGCTACTGTGCATGATTGGGTCATTAGGGATGTCAGCTATTCATAATGGTTTGTTTACAGCTAAGAGAAGAGGAGACAATACGGGGGCGAAAACGAACCACTTTTCTGACAAACGCGAACCAGCTCGTGATCGAGCTCGTGATTGGCCGATTTGCAGTTTTTTTTAAATTCTTTATTTAAGATTTGAAGTACGTAAGATAGAGATAGAGATAGATATAGACAGATATAGAGATAGAGATGAAAAACTAAAAAGCCAGTTGTCTCCTCTTCCTCTTAGATTTACAGTTTGGAAAATCAAGAGCCACATGTGAAAAGGACATCAAGGTTTTTGTAAGCGAACTTTTGTAGACCCGTTTCTCGCCAATCGAAAGTCGCCCACGCAAACCAACAACAAAATCGGGAAGGGGAATTTTCTCTTGATGGTTTGCGTGGGTGTCATGTGGGTGGCGATAAAGGGTATAAGAAGATTTCAAGGTGAACATTGTATTAGGTCCTAAGTAACATTGACAGATTCTCTTCGTCGACTTTCTCTTTGTAGTCCCACGGCCATGTAAATATATTCTCAGGTATTTTCGGCACACAGAACGATAAAAGAAGCTTTTATCTAGCATATCTAGACCAACAATTGCAAAAGGCGGAACAACCAAACATAAACAATGGCTTTAAACGAAAATTTCTCGATAATCAAAGCACATCCAAGCAATCTAACACCGTCATCATCGGTCAGTCGATGGCTCAAATTCTTCGCTAGGTTCTCTAGCATTCTCCCGGCGCCGTTTTGGACTTCGTTAGAACTGGATTCCGAAAATAGATTTTTTTATGCTAAATATAAAAAGATAAAATCGACAATGAGCATGCATAAGGGCGTATACGCGATGATCGATTCTCTTCATCGTTTTTCTCTTTGCATTGCTCCAGCTAAGCGAAACAATTTTATAGAATTTGTTCAATGCAGAGTTGTAAGAGGTTGTACTGGTTATCAAAAGCAACAGCAAACGTACCGATAAACGTTAAATCTAGCGAGTTAATAACAAAAGAGAAAATCGATGAAGAGAATCGATCATCGCTTATACGCCCTTATGAATGCTCACTGTCGAAATGAAGAACGGATTTGACTAAATACGAAGCACAACGGCTTAAAAAACGAGAGACGACGGGTATCGATAAAGAGAAATTGGTGAAATCTTCGGTGTTTCTGTTTAAATAATAGAATCTCAATTGTGGCGACGGCTACTTTTCCCACACACAGAAATCAAAACAAAGACGCGAAAAGTTGCCGTCGAGGCAGCTGTCAAAATGCAATGTCATATATAACAGGTTTGGCAATGAGGATTAGACATCCCTTTCACTCTGTCACTGTTTTTATGTAACCACGAGTTTGACGTCATAGTCGTCGTTACATAAGAACAGCGGCATGATGAAAGTGATGACACATTCTCATTGCCGGACTTGTTCTTTATGACATTCGTTAAACTGCATGGTAAGAGTATGTGTGAGGTGTGCAAATATTCACTGTGCCAAAAATTTTTGCACAGCAGTCTAATGAGGTGCAAAATGCGCAATACTGTGCAAAAGCTAAAAAGCTCAATAAAATCCTGCAAATTGAATTAATGTATGAAAGCAAACATGATAATAAACAAAATTTGAAAATAAAATTGCCTAAAACTTAACACTAGTTTTATTTAATTCACTAACAAAGTGTATTTATAATTGACGGAACAGTCTATCACAATATAAATACTTACTAACTATAGCTGTAGGTCGAGCCGCAGGTAGCATTCACCATCCAAACAGATCCGTAAAGGTAAAGTTTTAGAATCAGAATTATATATTTTGAACATTAAAACATTTACTGGCAGCGCAAGAATCACCCTTTGATACCTGCACCATTTTTAACTTTGAGAAAATTCCGATTAGAACAACTTACCCAGAATCTGATCTCATCAGAACAATTCTAGTTTTCCCAGATTTTGATAACTTCTTACTGGATACAAGAATGGGTGCCATCTACGGTGCCGTACTCTAACGGAACTATCAACTCTATAATTTCATCTCCTCATCTATCGTATAAATGACCAGTTAAAGTCTGATATTTGACATTAGACATCTCCAACTTGATAAATATTTCATTTTTTCAATGTATTTTGAATAATTTCATGTATATTCTAGATTTAACATATGAGGAATTCCAGACGAATTGGCAGATCCATTAATTGCAGATTAGAGTCGGTGTATAATGAGTCACGCCAAGAGTGAAACCAAGTCGACCTATTGAACTGTCAAACCGGCTACCTATCGTGCAAAGTAAACAAACATTACGATGCTATGAAAGGTCCACGAAAGGTATTGCAATAAAATATAAAATAAAATTGAAGAAATGATCATAAACACGCAGTGAGCATTAAATTGTCATGGGATACGTTTGCTAATGATCAGTAATGAGAATTTCTACTATTGTTTGATAAGATAATTTGACAAAATCACTGATATAATGATTCACTACAGCCGCAATTTTTTGTTCTAGCTAGAAGTCATTTGAAGTTGATGTAGAAGCATAGAGGTAACTCTAAGACTAGAAGGTCCCGAAGAAACGTGCTCAACTTTTTGGCTCAGCTCTGGTACTCTCTTCGGTCCCAAGCTAATCGATTCACCCCTCGAAACATAGGAAAATCCACTAACCCCTCATTTTATCTGTCAAACTTTTATAGCTAATCAAAACAAACATAGTTTAGTACTGGAATTTATACTAGAATAGGGTACGTTAATCGTTTGCTTGGGACCAATAGGCTAGTCAAGTAGTGAGCCAATTTAAAATCGTTAGTTTCGTATTGATTGTTGGTAGAAGTCCTCTGTTGCCAAGTGAAAAGAAAGGGAATCCTTCGAAAACCGTGATGCGAGTTCAACCACAAACGAAGTGACAGACGGAGCGGCTCGAAAACTTTGATGACTAACCTGCTATTGCAATTTTTCAGTGTACCACATGGCAACACCACTACTACTGGATTGTACCACATGGCAACACTACTACTGGATTGAAATAGCATTTTCACCAAATGTACTAGAATGTTTTGGTTCTATCAACAATCAATATGAAACTAACGATTTTAAATTGGCTCACCACTTTAGTAGCCTATTGGTCCCAAGCAAACGATTAACGTACCCTATTCTATTCGAAATTCTAGTACTACGCAATGTTTGTTTTGATTCGCTATGAAAGTTTGACAGATAAAATGAGGGGTTATTGGTTTTTCCTATGTTTCGAGGGGTGATTCGACAAGCTTGGGACCGAAGATAGTACCAGAGGTGAGCCAAAAAGTTGAGCACGTTTCTTCGGGACCTACTTGTCTTAGAGTTCCCTCTATGGTTCTATCTCTTTCACTCCACTCAAAACTGAAATGCATAAAAAAATGAAAAAATTATACACTCTTTGCACACTGTCAAAGAATCATTGTACACAAAATCAACTTTGTGCAAAACCATAACAAAAATACTATCCCATCTGGTGGATGATGGCACAAGCCTCTAAGAAAATTCTATTACAGCGAACCGCATTATTTTAATTGATTTGTTCGCCAGTTAGTCGTCTGTCACTTCGTTTGTGGTTCAACTGTTTTTCTCTTGGCGTGACTCATTATACATCGACTCTATTGCAGATCACCATTTTAAATCAAGCCTTAATTTTGAAAAGGGCCTATAGAAAAATGTTAAGCTTATGTCCAGAAAACTGTTACTCGAAAAATGTTTGTCCAATCGGTTTGATACATTCGACAATGTTGTAGGGAACATGTGGTACTAGTTGAAAAAAAAATTGCACTCTAAAAAAATGATCACCATTTTTAATTAATTTAGAATTAAAAATTTAAAATCGTTCCGCTCGTAAATGTTTTTTTTTTAATTTTTTTGTATGGTTTTAGGGGACAATAAATTCCACCTTTTGCATTATAGGTCAAAATGGAGAAATGATGGACAAAAAAGTTTTGATTTTTGAAAAAAAAATGGAGAAATATCTAAAACTTAGTTCAATTGTTTTTTTTCAACTAGATACATTGAAAGCACATCAAATTAACAATAAAAAAGCACGAGCATAATTTTTTGCTAAGTCACACCGTTTTCGAGATGTAGCAGTTTGAACGAAGATTTTTTTAAATGTAGGTAATTTTTGGCAATTTTCGAACGTATTTCTGCGGTTCTCCAGTTCCAACAAAAAAAATTTTACGAAAGATTGGGAAATTTCCTTGTGAGACAGGCACAATCGCGTTATCTGCCGCTCAAAGGTAAATGCTCCGAACGAATTTGATTGCAATGATTCCAACCCAAAAGAAAGCACTTGCTCATTTTTGTATGTGTTGCTTCCATCTTCGCTCAAACGCAGCGCTATTATACCTGTCACTTGTAATCTGACAAAGTTTCCAGTCTTCCTGATATGTTGTCTTCAAATTAAGCTAGTGGAATTCAATGAAAATTACTAATCATTCTCTTATACAGGTATTCCACTATAGACGTTCACATTCATCACAATTCTTACAACACTGTCCTATCTAACTTAATGTTTTATTTTATTTTTGTAAGCATTTGGAATGCTGAAGGAAGAACATACAGGAAACTGACTTGAAAATTTGCTGTAGAATGAACAAAAGGCACAAACTACGTGTTCTCAAAATAGAAATCTAACCGTATTCATGTTTCCTGATGAATGTGTGCGTCTTAAAGGAATACCTGTATAATGAGAGAGAGAGAAGGATTAGTAATTTCCATTTAATTCCACTACCTTATTTGCTTATCCTTGACAGATACGCGTATTTCGTCTACAATGTGCAGACTTCTTCAGTGTCTTGAACTAATACCCGACTTGAATACAGTCGAGTATTAGTACAAGACACTGAAGAAGTCTGCACATTGTAGACGAAATACGCGTATCTGTCAAGGATAAGCAAATAAGGTAGTGGAATTAAATGGAAATTACTAATTCTTCTCTCTCTCTCTCTTTATACGCATTCATGTTACTTTTATGAATTGTATCATCAATACTGCCAATGTAACATATATATTTAGTACATACTTAGAAATACCTAATCTTACACGTGACGGAATCCATCTTTGACATAAAGGATGAGACGTAAACAGACATGTCATGTAAAATTAAGTGCTCCGAGACTGAACAGTTCGAAATTACGCTTGATTGAGCTGAATTTTGCGTCTGTTATGATTCAAATTTATGTCAAAATTGACGCTCGTATATGTCAGTCTCAGAGCACCTAAATTTACTTGAAGTTTTCTAAGTGTGTAGGATGGGTCAACATGATGATTTTGACGTAGGATTATGTCTTTCGGCAACATATGGGGGTGCAATTTCAAAAAACCAAAATTGATCGCATTACGAAAAGTGGTCAGGTTTTGACTACATATAACCATAGAGGTAACTCTAAGACCACTGGGTCCCGAAGAAAATCATTATTATTTTTGGCTCACTCAGTACCAGAACAACGGTCCCAAGCAGTCCCAAGCTATTTCACTCACCCCTGCATGTTCTGCATGAATCCACACACCCCTGATGTTATCTGTCAAACTTTCATAGCGAATCAAAACAAACATAGTGTAGTAATAGAATTTCAACTAGAATAGGGTACGTTAATCGTTTGCTTGGGACCAATAGGCTACTAAAGTGGTGAGCCAATTTAAAATCGTTAGTTTCGTATTGATTGTTGATATAACTCTGTCAATAGCGGATGGATTTTAATTCTAAACAAACCAATCGATTAGAATTTTTGCTATGAATCTGCTAAATAGAACACTTTAATAATTTTCAATAGGTCACAGTGGTAGTGATCAAAATTATCACCGATTGCCTGCAAACAGCGCATTCCTTAACACAGATTTCTAAATCGAATTCGATTCTGTCTCCCTGAACGGTGGTTATTCAATTACTGTGTGTGGTGGTGTCCGGTCGGTCGTCACCAGCAATAGTGCTTTCGGAGCGTGGCGTTGAACATTGTACACAATGAAAGGCTGCCTCACCGCTACTGAACGGGATCCAACTTCGTGAGTAGGTGAGGGCCATCTATGCCAAGCGCGTCACCTTCGTTCCAAACAACATACAGCACGCCAGCCTCATCCTTGTTGATCACCCTAATCACCCTAAATCAACATTACTAAACCATCCTGCAAAATGGTTATTTACATGACCAACATAAATTTGATAAAGAGTATTTTTTGGACATTTTTCAAGGTCATAAATCGGATGTCGGTTCCCATATGTTTAGATCTAACATACCATATATTTTTAAGGTAACATTGGCGGAATCCAAAGTCGGTCGCGGTATGAAACTGGCCTGATTTTGATCCAGAGATGATGGATTTTAATTCTGAACACGCAAATCGATAGCAAATTTTCCACGAATATTTTAAAATTAAGGATGCATCATTTTTAAGATGTCACTATTGAAAATTGCACGAATGTGTAGCTGTTGCTAAAATGGTCACCGATGGCCTGCGAAAAGCGCTTTCTCTAACACAGATTTCAAAATTGAATTCCATCCGGTCTTACCGAACGCTGTTCATTCAATCATCGCGTGTAGTGAGTGGTGGTGTTCTCCAGTACACAACGAAAGGTTCCCGCAAGCAGCTAGCTACCAAGGCTGTCCTCAACCGCTGATCGGATTCAGTTGCTCGTCGTGAGCCGCTATGGGCCATCTATGCCGAGCGCGTCATTGCCGTTCCAAACAACATACAGCTCGTCAGCCTCATCCGTGTTGAATACCCTAATAGCTCAGCATTACTCAACCATAACGACAAAACGGTTCTTTTCAGGATCACCATAAATTAATGCTGTTTAAGAATTAATATTCATTGAACGTTCGCTCGCCTTGCTGCCAGCCACATCACCCCTAAAGCTCTTTGATAATGGAACCAGCAACCAAACGTTTGTGGTTAAATGCGTCAAGTATTAAAGTGGTACATAAAAATTCTTGCAATGACTTAATACCACATGACCATGTCAAATAACCAGAAGCCGGCGCCGGTGGTGTAGTGGTAAGCGTGACTGCTTTCTCACACCCCAATGGGTCTGGGTTCAATCCCAGCCGAGGCCGGTGGGATTTTTCTGAGGCATAAAAATCTCTGGTCACGTCTTCCTTCGGAAGAGAAGTAAAGCCGTTGGTCCCGGCCCATGTGCGTTGAATGGGTGCGATATCCTACGCAGGTGTGGAAGCTGCCTTCCTTCATATTCGATTGCCGTTAATGGATGGCAATCGATGTTCGTCGGTGATTGGCACTAGATTGCGGAACAGAGACCGATGTTAAATAAAGGAAAGAAGAAGAAAAAGAAGAAGAAGAAATAGCCAGAAACTTTTCGTAAGGTTTTCTTTCTTCTCGAATTTATATGATTGATCCCGAATATCTCGCGATTGGAAATATTTTAGCAAGAAATTCCTCCAATCAATTTTCGCTTTTTTACTATCTATTGAATAAACCAAAAGTTCCGTGCGTTTTGTGCACGAAAATGCGTTTCCCGTGATGGGAAAAGTGGTTTCCCTAACACAGTCGCCGAATATTGATACCAAGCACTGTCGGACGGTACACAGCAAAAAAAGTTGTTGAATATTACATCGAAACTGCTGCAACCAGGTCAATCCATCGGTTGTGTAATATTACATTGTACGATGTACATCGATTTTGCGAACAAAATTACATCCATTGATGTAATATTGTATCTGATTTTTGCTATTACATCATTATTTCATACATCAGCTTGAATTACGTTGATCGATATTACATTTTTTTTTTGCTGTGTACCTATCTCTATGTCTTTTGTTGCAAAGTCAAGCCTCTCCTATTAAGAGAATTATGCCAAAAAAAATCTTGCCGAATTCTCTTAAAATTTGCATCAAAAAGCATAAACGTAGGTATCGTCCAGTAGGCTCAGATTCTGTGATTGATGTGTTTTCACTAATTCATATTTAATTTCCGCACCGCTATCATCTCCAAGAACATCGAGGACAAATTTCCACAGCATTGTTCTAAACTGGCTTCCAAGCTTCTAACTCATCGGTCCTTTTCAGGACCACAAATGACTGATAAATGAGTTAACTACAGAGTTAGAGCTTGTATCCAAGACATATCGTCCAGAATTGACATGTACTACATGGACATCGAAAGAGCACCTTACAAACAGAACTCTCAAATTGCTTCCGAATTTCAACCTATCGAACTTTTTCACTGATAACGAGTTAAGAAATCAATTTAATATGGTTCTAATGTTGGCCTATGGATTTAAGATTAGACCCATCGCTAAAAATCTGCTATTTATCAATAACGGTTCTAATGGATATTTTTGGTCGCTATTGAAAATTTGGTCGATTGCTGAATTTATGTATGTATGGTCCCAAATTAAGGGCATTTAGGCCGACATTACATCCATTTCCCCTACTGTACTTTTGCTGTGACATCAAAATTACCTCTCGCAATCCTACGTTAAAAGTATTCCTGATGAATGTGGGCGTCTTAGTGGAATACCTGTATAATGAGAGAGAGAAGGATTAGTATTTTCCATTTAATTCCACTACTTTATTTGCTTATCCTTGGCAGATACGCGTATTTCGTCTACAATGTGCAGACTTCTTCAGTGTCTTGTACTAATACTCGACTGTATTCAAGTCGGGTATTAGTACAAGACACTGAAGAAGTCTGCACATTGTAGACGAAATACGCGTATCTGTCAAGGATAAGCAAATAAAGTAGTGGAATTAAATGGAAAATACTAATCCTTCTCTCTTTCAAAAGTATTGTTAATAATATTGATGCAAATATCGATGAAGAAAATATTGTTGCCAATATAGACGCAAAATCTTAAAACTTTGATTTCGTGTTTCAATATGTCCCCTCATTTTCCCTTTATGATTGACTACAGCAGTAGATGGGGCCAGACCCTGAGCATCATCGGATATAACAAAATTAGTGAGAAGCTACCCTGTATTGATTACCCAGTAAAAACATTATTGGAAAGATTGACGTGAAAATATTGACGAAACTTCTATCGTGTGGGGTGCATTATGCGCCTATGGGTAAAGTAGAAGATGTTAAAAGCATCCTCAATGCCTCCTGCTTGGAATTGAAGTCAGGTAGAAATTAACAAATCATTTATAAGTTTAAATAAAAAATCAGTTTGTAAAAGTTTATTCAGATTTATAGGAAGCTTTTCACGGTTTCAGTTGTTAAATACATCGAACACAATAGAAATAAATATACATTTATACTACACAATCTCTGCTGGACGGTTCTCGCATGTACGGCTTTTGATTTGTTTATAAACTTGGGCAGTTTTTATCTAGATACAACCATCAGTGAAATCTAATCAGCGTTGAAAGTGTCCCAATCAGTACAACACATATCATTGCAAAGCTTGAAGATATCCTTAAATTCATAGCACCATTGCACAGATCTCCTTGACAGAAGCACATGTAGACCTTTTTGTAGTTGTACACAGTGTAGGCGCACCGATCCTCCGAATCCGATGGACCCCGCTGTACGCACATTCGCTGTGTGGCCATGTCGTAATCTGAATGAAAATGATTTTCGTCAGTCAGATACGTTCACGCAATCTTTCCAGCAATATTTACCATCTTCCCTGAACGATCCTTGACCCTCGATCACCTTTCCGCACCAACCGGAAGCACACGGAACGGCCGTCACGCCACGTTCATTTTCCGCCTGGGTTGCATTGAACGTGAACGGGTCCTTGCAACTCCCGAGCTCGCCTCGCGATCTGCATTGGTAGCATCTTTTCAGTAGAGCTGTAGAGCAGCAAACAAATAAAAAAAAATGCAGATTGAATAACAAATAAGCATACATTTAATTGGCGAATCCAGCAAAAGGAAAACCAATTTTGTGTGACTCAATATGTGCATCATCAGACACGACACAGAACGATGCCCTTGACGTGCTGAAAAAAGGTTCGGTTGTTTGGAGCCAGCTCGAGGTGTGATATTTAGAGTGACTTAAACGAGAGGAGTGCTGCATAGGCGACGAACCCGATTCTCAAGGTCTTTTTTGTTAGGATCTAGAATTTAACTTTCGATTTCGGTAGCTTGAAAACCTGTCACTAATGATTTGTGATGTTGAGCTGTTGCTGTCCCTTTCTGGCTCAACGAATCCAACTTACCATTGGTTTGGGAGATCTGATTAGAAAGTAATATCACACCAAGTGAAAGAAGCGCTAAATCGAACGGTTTCCACATTGCTAGTTTCTATTCTACTTGATGCACGGAGATCTTTAGATACACTAGAAATATACCAATGGGTACACCACGACGCAAAGGAGGAAGCAATTAATCCGTCGAAAAAGTTGACTTGACTGGTTTCAGCAGCGACTGCAATCCTCCGTGTTCGTGGTACTTCTTCTGTCAAGATTGGTTTCTTGACTTTTGTAAGCGTGTATGTGTGGGGGTGATCGCGATCTACCTAACAAACACAGCACTGAAAGACGAAAGTAAACTATAAGGAAAATGCAAATGCATCCAACGAGATCTGACAGGTAAGCGATGTAGCTTACCTGGGTAGACGACTCCCGAGTAAAAGTAGACAGCTAATTTCGGTTTTACTTCGAAACGTTCGAAACAAGTCATTGATACATGGAAATAGTTTCACAGTGAACGCGATCCTGACATCAGTCAGATTATGGAATTCAAACTGATTGATTTATTTGATTTATCGATTAATGAAGATGCGGTGACTACACTCAGAAAAAATCTAAACTACCTAGTTTAAAAGTCGCACTAAATCGCTATTCGCATGGTTGACCCCTAGCTAGGAATAAAGAGAGAGAATACGAACTTAGTATAAACATCGATTATACATAGGACAGTATAAAGTGCGTTTATAAATACTTTGTTTAACGGTGGATTATCCGTAGAATGTCATTTCAATGTTATTATTGTTATTGATTGAAAAGAAATAATATCGAATCAAGCGTAACTATTCAAATCGTATCTGCTTTTGTAAATAATCACTTCAATCGACGATTTGTCTTAACCGCTAACTCACGCACGCAAACAAATACCATCATCAGGTAGGGGAATCTTTCCCCTACTAGCTGTTGTTGTTAATTTCTTTGAGTGAGCTAGCAGTTGCCATAAATCGTCGATAGAAGTGATTGTTTACAAAACCAAATACGTCGATTTGAATAGTTACGCTTGAAATGATATAAAGTTTATTTTCATAAATTGAAAATTGTAAAATCAGTGTTCGAAAGCTCATTTTCAAAAAAAAAATCTTCCGCAGTTCTTCGGAGAATCATTTCGCTTAAGAACTACACTCAAAAAATATTCAAATCTAAATAGTATAAAACCTACACACTACGAAAAAGACATGTAAATTTCAGTGTCCTGAGACTGACACATGCAAGCGGCCCTTTTGACATAAGAATCATTGAAAAGGACGAGAAAATCAATTCAATGAAACGCACTTTTCGTCGAGTTGCATATGTTTCAGTTTCAGGACACTTAATTTTACATGCCATGTTTGTTTACGTTCCATGATTTACATCAAAGCTGAATTACGTCTCGTGTAAAAATAATAATTTCTAAGTGTGTGTACGCTAACCTTACCGACGCATAGCTCGGTATTAAAAGAGTGTATACTAATTACAATCTGGGGACAAATGACCGAATCTTGGAACCAGAATTCTCGACCATCGCTCACATCGACATGCTACACCTACCCTTTGCGACGTTTTTCATCAGCTACGCGGTAGAATCTCATAGAAATACTAACCACCAGTGAATAATTGAACATTTTGAACGAATTCCAAACTATACTTACGACTCACTGCTTTGTTTCGAATCCGTCTCCAATTCGTTGATGGTCTCTGATCCACATTTTTATCCTGTATGTAGGGGAAATGACGGCTTCGGCATGACAGACTATTTTTGGCAACCCAAATTGAAACGGTAATTTCACTAGATTTTCTTAAGAAAACACTTCGCTGAATGCATTCAAACTATTCGTTAGGCTTTCAGCTTCAATTTGATTATATGTTTACCACTGAGAAAAAGCAATCTAGCAGGGTTTTCTTGAAATGAAACACACGCACTATAAAATGCTGCTGATTTCGAGTTGCCGATGAAAACACAGCTGTTAACCGCAGCTCATATAGAAAGGTTGCCGAATAAAAAGAGGATGCCCACAATAGTCGCTCTCACTAGAGAAGATTGGAGCATTGTAAAAGCGTTTCAAAACAGTTTTTGATAATTCTTTCCACTGAAATTGTTAGAGCAGCTGTCAGCAAAAGATTGTAAATAAACCAATACTGCATATGTGTGCGTTCCATAGAGAAAAAGGCTATAGAAAGACGGTCGCTGCTTAGGTTGCCGAGAATACGTAAATTCCCCTACTTATCTTTCAACTACCACAGCCGGTTCGATAGCATTGATCTTGGTTCAGAAATACCGCATTATCATCCATGTCGTGTAGGATCATCATCAGTAGCTCGCTTCGGACCATGTAAACTACGTAGCCAGTCACGCTTTTCAGCATGTAATTAGAGGCGCCTGTGTGGATTATGTGATTGTGACAACAATCATAATCTTGTCACCGTAAGCACCACGCTCAAAAGCATCAAAGCTGTCGTTCTCCGGGTGTATCTCAAATGAAGCTTGCGTTTCTTTGTGTTAGATGAATTCTGAAATAAGTTGGATTCTAATTTAAACAAAATGCAAACACTTGTAACTCACGTTTTTGGTTACTGCTTTGATTAGTGAGATTAGCACGGTAGTCAAGTCAAATTGTAAGGGCCGTCAAAATGGCACGGTTTCCTCTTTCGTTGTCCTCTACCAGGAGATTTGCGCGCTTGTTCAACTCAACCATCAAATTCCGCTAGCACATACCATACCAGCAGAATCTTCGGAATCTTTGACGATTTGCTGGATTTCAGATATGATGGGCCACTCAATCGATTCTGAGACAACAGAGTAACTGACTGCTTTTCGCTGGTGGATTTCTGTAATATGCAAACAAATAAGTACTTCCGGAAAACAAAAACTTACTCCATCTCCATCTCGTTGTCGCTGCTAACCTTATGAATCCGGTAACGTTTTCGGTATGAACATGGATCGAAATTCTTAAAATCACAAACTTTTCAAAGCTGATGGGAAGAAAACTAAACGCAATTTCCTGTTCAAACGGTACATTGAACATTAAAAGAAAAACTACAAACTCGCCTGTCAAAATCAAAAAAAAAAAAAAAAAGGCGTACGCTGACCGAATTCTGCAACATTATTCGGACTTAGTATAATTTTGAAGTAGATTGTAAACGGATCAATGTACAAACATTGATTAACCATTGAAATGATTAAATTTTAATCATTTTTTGTTAGGTGAAACTAACGATTTTAAATTGGTTCACTACTTGACTAGCCTATTGGTCCCAAGCAAATCGACTAACGTACCCGATTATAGTATAAATTCCAGTACTACACAATATTTGTTTTGGTTCGCTATGAAAGTTTGACAGATAGAATGAGGGGTTAGTGGATTTTCCTATGTTTCGAGGGGTGAATCGATTAGCTTGGGACCGAAGATAGTACCAGAGCTGAGCCAAAAAGTTGAGCTCGTTTCTTCGGGACCTGCTGGTCTTAGAGTTACCTCTATGATAAAAGTTCCCGAACGAGATGTGCGGAACAGTTCAGCAAACGACTCCGATAGAGAATTCCAATTTATTTCTCTCAACCTCGAGAAACCTCAGCTAGCTCAGGTCATTGTCTCCTGTATAGCTATGTCATGTTTCGTCGCGGAGTAGAATGAAATTATCTCGCTTAACTTTTGCCATTCTGCTGATTCTTTCTTTTTCTAGATTAGGTGCTATCAAAGACAACATATCAAGAAAACTGGCAACTCTTCCATTTTCTCGTACACCGCTATGAGACAGGTAAAATCGCGTCATCTGCCGCTCAAAGGTAAATGCTTCGAACGAATTTGATAGCAAAGATTACATCCTCAGAGGAAAGGTTTATGTATTTTCTCATTTCTCTATGCGCTGCTTCCACCTTCCCTCAAGCGCAGCGCTACTGTATCTGTCGCTTGGAATCTGGCAAAGTTGCCAGTCTTCTTGATATGATGTCTTTGATGTTATGCTTTATGCATGATGATATTTAGATTACATAGATGTAAGAGCTACGTGCGTTATAATTGGTGTAAGTATACATTTATAATTCATTTAATACACACTTATAAGGTTTTCACTTTTTGTAACTCTTGTTTTACGTTACTCACAATAACAATTCGATGCACGGAGAACAAATTCGTTAAGTTAAGATAACATTCCTAATAGCTACTTTCACATGGAAAAATATTGTTATTTGAAAGAAACCTATAGTTATTCCAACATTAATTTGACCGTCAACTCAATCATATCTACCTAATAGATTCAACTGTTCATCTTATCCTCAATTCAACTATAACTTTGATCAATTATAACAACCGTCAAATGTAATTTATTGATATAATTTGGTTTCAAGTGATCATCATAAATCCACATACTTTTAACTTGTGATGCGTAGAGCAGGCGATAAGATAGCTGGCTCTCACGCAAATGAACACGGTTCAAATCTAAGTTGAATGTTCTTGTTCACCTTTTTATGATTTTGCAGTTGTGTTTTTGAGATCGATAAAGAAGCAAAACAAACTTCCTTAATATGTCGATAATGAAGAGCAGTTCGTTTAATGAACATTGTAAAATTTCGCTTTCCTAACAATAGTTTTCTTGAATCAACTAAAACATAGTTGTATTTTGAAGTTTAGCGTTTGTTCATCTACTGAAAAATATAGTTGAGCCAACCGAGGAGCCAACTATGGACTATAGTTGTTGCCTTCTATATATAGTCAAATCAACTTTAGTTTCGGGTTATCTCTAAAACAATTGAACAATATAGTTATTTTGACCGGAAAAATAATTGCGTCTGCTATAATTTATTCTCGGTGTGGCTACTCACGAGTTACCAATAAAAAAGTTCACGAGTCATATTTCGCGATCTATTTCATCACATATCGGGAACGAAAAGTTGTGCAAAGGAAGCTAGAGTGAAACATACACTAATAAAATTCTAAACTTATAGTTTATTTGGTTCGTACACATACTTCTTATAACATATTCAAAACATTATTTTTATATGAGTAAACATAAACATCATAACAAACCCCTTATCTGTTATAAGATAGCCCATAACACTTATATGAGTGACATATTTTATTTATATGTGTGATACCATAAAAAATATGTTTTGCATCATTATGCATCACATAATTTTGATGTTTGAGCGCTGAGTGGTGCTAACTTCTAACTGATTGGTGCAAGGCAAACGTGAGTAGGTGCATATAAATGATTTGTTTGAAATAACATTTTTTTTGCGAATTTTTCCGCAGGGATAC